CTCAGATGATGGTTAGCATTTTTTAGCAATAAAGTATCTTTTAATTAAGGTAGGTACATTTTTTAGACATAATGCTATTGCATACTTAGACTACAGTATATTGTAAACATAACTTTCATGTGCACTGAGGAACCAGATATTCGTGTGACTTGCTTTATTGCGATGTTTACTTGCTTGCGGTGGTCTGGAACCGACCCGCAGTACCTTCGAGGTAGCCTGTGTAGGTGGTACAGTCTGAGCTTAGAGGCGGAGACTAGATGGAATAGAGAAGAGGCTCAGCCCCAGGGTGTCTCTGAGGACTGGCACAGGAGGGTCTTGGATCCCTCAGTCCTGCCTGGCAAACCCCTCTTGCCTCCTGCTCCCCACAGACAGCCGACCGCCAGTACATGGAGGGTTTCAACGATGAGCTGGAGGCCTTCAAGGAGCGCGTGCGGGGCCGCGCCAAGCTGCGCATCGAGAAGGCCATGAAGGAGTACGAGGAGGAGGAACGCAAGAAGCGGCTTGGCCCTGGTGGCCTGGACCCCGTGGAAGTCTACGAGTCTCTCCCTGAGGTGCGGAGCCCCAGCCCCAGGCAGGCAGGACTTGCGGAGTCCCAGGGGCCCAAGCCCTGACCTCAGCCCCTCTGCCTCCACAGGAACTCCAGAAATGCTTCGACGTGAAGGACGTGCAGATGCTCCAAGACGCCATTAGCAAGATGGACCCCAGTGTAAGTAACTGCATCCCCGGCCCACCCGCTAGCCAGGCTGAGGGGCAGGCCAGCAGTGTGTCCCTCAGCTCCCCCGCCCCCAGCTCTCCATGTTGCTGATAGAAGGGTCTCCTGGGCTTCTGGGAGGAATACGGGAGGCTGGGTCACTGTGGCCAGCACATGAGGCAGCCAGGCTTTTGTACCACAGGCACCTACTGTGTCCTCGGCATCCAGACTGAGTATCACTTCACTGTGGGCTGTTTGTGAGCACAGCCAGCACACCCCACTGACCCCAGCTGGCCAGTGATTCAAGGTGGCCCAAGGAGGGGGTTCCTCCCC